TCTCTATTCTGTTTAATGGGTCCATGTGTCTGGCCCCTGCCATCCCCCATGCTGTCTTGATTACTGCAACTATACAGCAAGCCCTGAAATCTGGCAGAATGGTTCCTCCTACTTCATTTTTGTTTGCAAAGTTTGCCTTTGCATTTCCATATAAATTTTAGGATTAGCTTGTCTAGTGTCTGCAAAAAATCTTTTAAGGGAAATTGACAAAAATGGCATTAAAACTATAGGTCAATTTGGAGAGAACTGACATGTTTACTATTTTGTCTTTCAATCCACACCATAATTTGTGCTTTTATTTATTTATGCCTTCTTTGATTTCTTTTATTAGCATAATTTCAGCATACAGATCCTGTATATTTTTTAAAGTTTACACCTAAGAATTTAATTTTGTTTGGAGAAAATAGCATTGTATTTTTAATATGGTTCCTACATATTTGTTGTTAGTTTTGCAACCCTGCTGAACTCACTGATAATTTCTCTCTAATTTCTAACAATTGGTAGATTCATTTGAATTTTCTATATAAACAATTTTTATCTGCAAATAAGGACAACTTAGGTTTTTTTCCCTTTAAATGTGTATGTTTTTTATTTCTTTTCCTTTAATTATTATATTGGCTAGAACTTCCAATCCTATGTTGAATAAGTGTGGTGAGAGCAAAGGTCTTGCCCTTCTCTTGATCAAAGGGGGGAATTGTTCAGTCATTTGCTATTAAGTATGATCTCAGCTATAGATTTTTTTGTAAATGCTCTTTATCCAATTAAGAAAGTTTCCCTCTATTAGTTTTCTAATTTTTTTTTCATGTGAATGGGTGTTAGATTTTGTCAGATGCTTTTTTCTGTGTCCATATAATTATCAGAGTTTTCTTCTTTATCCTTTTGATATGATTACATATATTTCTTGATTTTTGAATGTTGAACCAGCCTTGTATACCTGGAATTACACTTGGTCATGGTATATAGTTCTTTTTCTATATTGCTGAATTTGATTTGCTGAATCTGTACTTTTCACACACTTTTTTTTTTTTTTTTTTTCCGGTAATTTTTATAATCAGGCCAGATTGGGAAACATTAGGCAAGAAGTACCAATCTTGTTGTGGGAAGTCAGGCACCCCAAACGGAAGGACCAGCTGGAGCCGCGGCACAAGAACATAAATTGTGAAGATTTCCTGGACATTTATCACTTCCCTAATAATATTTTCATACTTTCTTATGCCTGTCTTTATTTTAACCTCTTAATCCTGTTACCTTTGTAAGCTGAGGATGTACATCACCTCAGGACCACTGTGATGATTGTGTTAACTGTACAAATTGATTGTAAAACGTGTGTTTGAATAATATGAAGTCAGTGCACCTTGCAAATGAACAGAATAGCAGCAATTTTTAGGGAACAAGGGAAGACAACCATAAGGTCTGACTGCCTATGGATTGTGCAAAAAGAGCCACAGTTTTCTTCTTGCAGAGAGCCTATAAATGGACGTGCAAGTAGGAGAGATATCGCTAAATTATTTTCCTAGCAAGGAATATTAATATTAAGATGCTAGGAAAAGAATTGCATTCCTGGGGGGAGGTCCATAAATGGCCTCTCTGGGAGTGTCTGTCTTATGCGGTTGAGATAAGGACTGAAATACGCCCTGATCTCCTGCAGTACCCTCAGGCTTATTGGGGTGGGGAAAAAAACACTCCCTGATACATTTGAGGCCAAACCAGTTCTCTGCTCTTGAACCCTGTTTTCTGTTGTTTAAGACGTTTATCAAGACAATACGTGCACAGTTGAACATAGACCCTTATTAGGAGTTTTTTATTTTGCCCTTTGCCTTGTGATCTTGCTTTGCCCTTTGCCTTGTGATCTTTATTGGCCTCAGAAGCATGTGATCTTTGTTCTCCTTTTTGCCATTTGAAGCATGTGATCTTTATGACCTACTCCCTGTTCATACCCTCCTCCCCTTTTGAAGTTCTTAATAAAAACCTGTTGGTTTTATGGCTCAGGTGGGCATCACAGTCCTACTGATATGTGATGTCGCCCCTGGCTGCCCAGCTGTAAAATTCCTCTCTTTGTACTCTTTCTCTTTATTTCTCAGACTGGCCGACACTTAGGGAAAATAGAAAGAACCTATGTTGAAATATTGGGGGTGGGTTCCCCCGATACAGTCTACCTTTTATGTTAGAATAAGCTTATATGTTAGAAAAAGGAGGTTTTCTAGTTTTCAAAATAGAAGATTTTGCTAAATCAAGTCTTCCTTTTTTAACAATATTTCTCACAACTATTAGGCATCAGACTTATTCAGGTGGTTTATCAATGGACTTCTACTTGTGTCTAACAAATTCACGGAATAGTCTGTTGCCAATGGATAAGAGAGAATATTTTCCATTCTGAGGTATTCAGGACTTTTTTTTTATTATTAACCAAACCTACCATCCAAAGGTCACAACAGAAAAGCAATAAATTAATTGGAAAATTCGAAATTAAACTTTTGGCTTTAATTTTGCATAAGTATATTTCTATTAAAGAATTTATGCATTCAAAAATTATTGATTTATTGAATCTCAAGTAAAAAAAAATCACTCTATTGTTTCCTGGGAGGACTGTAAAGCTGAATTAAATGTATATCAATCCTCTTTTATTCTTTCATTAAATTGTTTATTCACACAATCAAAAACATGTCTGAGCCCCTAGTGTGCCAGGGACTATCATGGACAATGAGATACAGCAGTAAAGGTAATTGACAAGGCCCAAGCTCTCATGGGACTTTCCTGGCAGAATAGCATGTATGTCAGGGTGCATGGTGGCACTGGGAGCTTTTAGTATGTAGCTATGAAATGGTGTAGATGTGACCATTTATAACACAAGGCACAACTTTAAGCATGATCAGAGGGGTGGTGTTTAGTGATTCGGGAGTTTGGGGGAGGACACAATTACTTTCAGTTTAGAGTTGAGTTTCATGAGGAAGTTGCCTTTTGAGTTAATCCTTAAAAGATGAGGCACATTTAGATATGCAAAGAGGGAGTCGGTGATGGGAGGACACAAGTACAGCATTCCTGCCTGAAGGGCAGCATCAAAGCAAGGTGGAGAATGCAAAAGGTGGGAAAGTATAACTAGTTTTACTAAACTTAATTCACTTAGGTTTAACTAGTTATGCTAGTTATACTTTCCCAGGCTTTCAGCAGTTATGACACCATAACTTATGACACCATAGCTAGTGAAAGTATTGTCAGGCTTTGTGTGTACCAAAGAAGAAGAGGCTCAGAAGGAGACAGTTAATGCATTTGATTTTGAATATGCACATATGAAAATGCTCATAGATGTAACACATATGCACACACATATCCACATAACAAAACCAATACAATGAATGTGAATTGAGATTGTAAATAAATAAAAATTATGGTTTGGGAAGGAATGAAAGTGTAGGTCTCATAAAACAAGAACATCTAGTGCAACACTGAACATGTTTACAGTGTCCTTTTCTAAACATATGGGGGAAAAATGATCCTGGTTTCTTCCTGGTCTCAAGGTTTTCGTGGGTTTAGGTGGACAGGGCAGCTGCACCTGATGGAGCTTCCTTGGGAGCTGATCAGGCAAGCCTGCCTAGTATCTGAGCACACCTCCACAAAAATAAAACAGACACATACAAAAATAAGTAAACAAGCAAATAAATAAATGTACATTTTAAAATGTGACCATCCTGAAATGTCACATTCTACTTTGATCCCATTATTTCCTACAAAATGAAGTCCAAAGCTTGAGGGGACTCCTGATCCCCTTCCACTTCTTTTTCTGGTTTGACACTCCAGTGTCCTCACACAGGAACCTCACTCCTCTGAAACTGATGGGCTTTGTGTCCTAAAGCATGCTTTCTTTTCTTCTGCTGGCCTTAGCTCAGTCTCTGCCTGGATTCAGGAATGGAGTCCTTTCTTATTTCTCTATCAAATTTCTACTGTTTTGCGAAGGCTCAACTCAAATCCTCTGTTTGGCATATCTTCAGGTCCAGGTGGGAGATGCCGTCCTCTTTGGGATTCTGATTTTAAGCTGCTGTCTTGTACATTTGTAGCATCTTGAATCTGCTTGTGTCATGCATTCCTGACAGGGTAATAAGCTGGGGAGGCCAGGCTCATGCCCCGCTCACTTCCAGATTCCTGGAATCTTCTAGATCTGTGTCTTTGCACATTAACATTTGTTTCTCATAACAGCGATCACGATGACAATAATAAGCCCTTCGTCCTTCTCTGCATTATCATTTATGATTGTGGTTTCCTGGCCTTCCCTTGAGTCCCCAGAGAGTTTTCGTGGGTTTGTAAGTGGTGTTTTTACCATTGTCATTTCCAAGCTGGAAGTGAGAAAATAGCATGTTCTTCTTAAACACACAAGAGTCTTCCTCTGTGAGATTTAGAAGATCAGAGAGGGGAAAGGAAATCTCGTTTTACTACAATTTCTATCAAGTAGAGTAACATCTCACCTGAGAATAATACTAGAAAGTTGACTGTGGACATTTCTGTGTCAATTAAGTTCACCTGTCTTAGGGGAAGGCTGCTGGCTGCCACTCCACAAGTTTTGATCATTTTTAAAATGCAAACTGAGTGCTAGCACTCACTTTTTGTTTGCTTTAACTTTCCCGAACTAATACACACTATGCTGAGATAATCAGACCCTAGAAGGCTGTGCCCACAGTTGCTGAGGACTCTCTTGGTTCAGCCCCAGTTGGAAGTTGTCTGATTACATCGTGGCGTCTGGCTAATAGTCTGAACTAATCAAGACAACTCAGAAGGAGGGAGAAGCTCATTAATCTGGTTGTGCTCATTTCTTAATGTCCTGAGCCCTGGAGTGTTTGCTATTTTTGTGTATTCTTGAGTGAGTAAATGAAGACAGAAGAGAAGAGCTGTGTCTATGATGCTTAAGAGGTATTTGATGGGAGGCCGACAGCAGGGTGCTTCTGTGACGTATGTGAGGACAGCGACGTTCCCCATATCGGTTCTGGTCTTCAGGCAGCATTGCATCAGCGGCAGAGTTCTGGGGTTGGGGAGTCTGTGAAGGATGAAGGGGAAGCAGCCGGGCAAAGCTGGCATCTGTCAGAGGAGAGAGACAGGGTACTGGGTGGAAAAGCTCAGGTGGCAGCACCACTGAAGAAAGTCTTAGCCGGCCATGGGCACACCCCCGAGCCAAGGTCCAGCAGTAGAGGATGCCTGTGCTTGGCAGAAGTGACCTGATCTGAGTGCCCAGCTGTGCTCGTTCAGTGCCTGGGGACAGCCCAGGGGATGCGTGGTCTTGGCAAGATGGCTGCAGTGGGATCCATCTGTCAGCTGGGTCCCCATGACAGGTGCCCTCCATGGTCACACAGAACCCCTCCTGCATGTGTGTGTGAGGACACCACTCCCAGTGCTCGAGAACCTCTTTCAGAAGGGAAACGCAGAAGAGAGAGGATAATGGGACAACCACCACCCACCACACATTGACCTTGGGGACCACCTGAGCCCACCATCCCCCATGGAGCTGCCACTTCCGCAGGTCTTAGTGGCTGCACCAGTTTGCTGTGACTGCCGTAACAAAGCCCCACAAGCCCGGTCTGATGCATTTTATTAGGATGAGAACATCCCCTTTCAGGCCTACTTTGCTGAGAGATTTTACCAGAAATGGATATTGAATTTTGTCATATGCTTTTTCTGCATGTATTGTTATGACCATATGACTTTTTTTTCTAGCATGTTAAAAAAATCACATGGATTGGCTTTGCAAAAGTCATGATGTATTATTAAACAACAACAACAACAACAACAAAGCCCCATAAGCTGGGTGGCTTAAAGCAGCAGTGACTCCCCCACAGTCCTGGAGGCCAGAAGCCTGCAACCAAGGTGTGAGCAGGGCCGGGCCCCCTCGGATGCCTCTGTGGGAGGATCCTCCTTTGGCGGCAGCATCACTCCAACCTCTTCTGTCTTCTGTCTGTGGCTTTGTCTCTCCTCCTCTTATGAGGACACCAGTCATCTTAGATCAGGGCTCATCCTTGAGGCCTCGTCTCAACTTCATTCTATCTGTAAGGACTCTGTTCCGAGTCAGATCACATCCTCAGGTGTCAGGGGTTAGGACACGAATACATCTTGTTGGGGGACACACTTCAACCCATCACAGGGGCACAACTGGTGGTGTGGGCCGTGTGGGCCCTCAGCTATCATCTCTTCTCAGGCCAGGGCTGCTGCATATTTCTAGCCGCAGTTGTTCGAGACAGCAGAGGGGCTGCCTGACTTCCGTGTGTATTCTTCCCCGTTCCATTGTGCAACAGCAGCTCTTCTCCTGCTGGCAGGGCCATGCCCTCACCAAGACGGTGGCTCCAATTCTCACAGCTGGTCCCCGGACACAAGCAGTCCACAGCATCAAGACAGGAGCCACCACTGTGGCAGAGGGGCTTGGCCCTCCCATCCTGCGGATCCCAGAGCTGCGGGGGCAGGAGGGAGGATCTCCTTCAGTTGGCCACGATGAGTGATGTGAGTGGGTCCATGCCCGCTTCCACCCCTTGCTTACTCCCCAACCCGGGTATTCCGCCTACCCCGGACACACCAGTGTAAGGAGGGCTCTGATTGAATGCACACACTGTGTCCTTGCAGGCTGTTGTCTCCAAGCTGCTCTGTGACAGTGCCTGAAGCAGGCTGTTCCAGAGCTCTGGGGGGCCGCTGTCATTGGGTAATGTGGGATGTAACGTAGCCAATGGATTCCATGGTCATGGGGCTGCCTTATACCTCGGTAGCTGTGAGGAGAGCCCTCCGGTCAGGTGTAAGTCAGTATCTCTTGGCGCTGGGTGATGCTGTGCTCACAAGAAAGGCAAACCCGTGCCCACAGATCCTCATCAGCCAGCTCCTGCCTGAGGGTCCCGTGTGGCTCATCCGGGCTGCATCATTTCAAGACAAGTTTTGCTGTTATCAACTCAGCAGTCAGAGCAGGTGGGGCAGCTCCTCCGGGACCAGCACTCTTTGCTTTGCAGGGAGAGACCTCTGCAGTGAGTTCCCACGGGCAGCATGCCAGCTCTTACTAGGGAGGGCAGCAAAGACTGCGAGCTTTGAGACTGTGGGGGTTCTGCAGAGCTCAGCTGCTCAGGGCCATCCACCCAGACGTCCCAATCCTATGTTTTAAGATTCTCTGGTTTTTCCCAACCAAGACATCCAACCACCTTAGCATAACCCTGACTTGACTGAGCACGTAAACATCTCCTAAACATCTCCGGAGCTCTGCACCTCTAGCCATCAAGCCCCGGAGCTCTGCACCTCTAGCCATCGAGCCCCGGAGCTCTGCACCTCTAGCCATGGAGCCCCGGAGCTCTGCACCTCTAGCCATCAAGCCCTAAGGTGTGTCTTCTGTTCCACTGCAGAAGCTCTTAGCAATCTACCCAAGATGCCTCCTGGCTCTCACACCCAGTCTCTAATTGCCCCTGATGATCTGTAGGTCATCGTTACAGCTGAATAAAAGCCAGCCAACTCCGCTGGCCCCTGCCCGTCTTTCAAACGCTGGTGTCATCACAAAGGCAAAGATCTTCCCTTACCCAAGACAGTTCCTCAGGTCCCTGTCAGTCAGACACTCAGTGGGGGTGCCACCAGGTGCCAGGCACTATGCATGCCCTCCACCTTCCCCTCAGCATGTGATCTTCCTTGTCAGGCATGGACTGAGCTGGTTTCCAGACCTCAGCTTCCCACCTGCCTTGTTAGGTCACTCTTGGCACCATCTGTGTCAATCCAGGTCCTCCAAGCAGCAGATTTCCAGAGAAGGCGGCACGTGCATTAGGTCTCCGCAGCTGCCATAACAGAGCACTCGGTCCAGGAAATGCATTGCCTCACAGCTCCGAAGACTGGATGCCCGGGATCAAGGCGTCAGTGCGGCCGCTTCCTGCTGGGGGAGGTGAGGCCCTGTGGCAGGCTGCCCTCCCTGGCTTGCAGATGGCCCTCTCCTCCCCGTGTCTTTTCTCCTCATCTTCTCTCTGTGAATATGTCTCCAAGTTTCTCTTTTGTCTTAGGTTGGTGCAAAAGTAATTGTGGATTTTGCAATTACTTTTAAAGCCTAAAATTGGCTTAACAACAAAAAAAAAAAAAAAAACCTGTGGGGATTTGAATGTGTTGGTTCATGTTTCTGAAAAGCCCGAGGGTGGATCAGGCACAGGTTGATTCAGGGACTGAAAGGCTCCTCCGGGCCCGCCCCTTTCCTCTCTGTTTGTGTCCTCGTGGGCCTTCTTCTCACCCCAGGTGGAGGGTGCGATGCTGCCAGTACGCTCCACACTGATGTCCACCCAGTGATGACAACAACACAACAGGGCCTGTCCCCAGGGACTCTCATGCAAGCCCAGAGAGCCACTAGGTCTGGACCAAGTGGGTCCACATGACGGCTGCTCCTGAGCCCGTTATGAATTTAGGGAGCTTTCGGGAGCCCATTACTTTTAATGGCAAAAACTGCAATGACTTTTGCACCAACCAATATAAAGCCATCAGTCGTATTGGATTAGGGCCCACCCTAATAACTCATTTCTACTTGATTACCGCTATAAAGATTTTGTCTCCAAACAAGGTCACATGTTGAGGTACTGGGGGCTAGAGCTTTGATGTAAACTTTGGGAGAAAACAATTCAACCCACAGCAATGTGTGAGAACTCACTGGGGGGATCTCCGTGGAGGAAAGGGAGAAAGGTTGAGGGTGGCCAGGGAGCACCTTCAGATGGCCGGGAGGGCGTGAGACCTGCGGGAGGAAAGAGGGAAGGAGACGGGGAGGAGAGCTTCAGGCTGCAGTCGTGAGAGAACCTGGGGCAGGCCAGTGGGATGATGGTTCCTGAGCAGAGGTCACGTCTTCCAGGAGTCCCATGTGGGGAAGAGAAGTCCTGGCTTTAGTCGGCCATCATCGGCTGGGAACTGAGGGGCAGCCCGGCCTCGAGGTGAGCAGCTGGCAGTTAGGAAACCCTGGCTGAGACTGGTTTGAGCCACAGTACTGAGATCAGGGAGGGAGACGCCAGAGCCGAACGGCCACGTGAACAGTCAACAGCCAAAGAGAGGCGAGTCTGAGGGATCACAATGAGAAGCCAGCATAGGTGGCCGGGCGTAGTGGCTCACTCCTGTAATCCCAGCACTTTGGGAGGCAGAGGCAGGCAGATCACGAGGTCAGGAGTTCGAGACCAGCCTGCCCAACTTGGTGAAACCTCAACTCTACTAAAAAAAAAAAAAAAATACAAAAATTTAGCCGGGCATGGTAGCAAGTACCTGTAATCTCAGCTACTCGGGAGGCTGAGGCAGGAGAATCTCTTGAACCCAGGAGGCAGAGGTTGTGGTAAGCCAAGATCACACCACTGCACTCCAGCCTGGGTAACAGGAACAAAACTCTGTCTCCAAAAAATAAAAGCCAGCGAAGTATCTGGAGTATGTGAAGTAAATATCTCAGAAGAGACAATCTTCCCACAGTGAGGTGGACGGATTCCAGTCAGGCGGGCAGTTTAGCGGTGGTTATAGCCACTGGTGAGGGTCCTGCTCACCGGTGGCCGTAATGGGAGGAGTGTGATGGCGGAAATAGAGAAGAGGAAATAGAGAACAGCGAGAAAGAAACAGCTGTCCTGGATATTCTGACGAAAAAATATGACAGAATTCAGTCATAAGGGTAAAGGTGAAGGGCGAGTTAAAAATGACTGAGAATTTGCATATGGGAGAGTTGGAAAATAGGTTCCATTCATACAGAGGTGGCCTAAAATTGGCTTCATGAGAAAAAACGGTAGGGGCTTGAATTTGTTGGTTCATGTTTCTGAAAAGCCCGAGGGTAGATCAGATACAGGTTGATGCAGGGACTGAAAAGCTCCTCTGGGCTCACCCCTTTTCTCTCTGTTTGTGTCCTTGTGGGCTTTCTTCTGGCCCTAGGTGGAGGGTGACATGCTGCCAGTACATCCACCAGCCCCAGTGCTGACAGCGACATAATAGGGCCTGTCCCCAGGAGCTGTCATGCAAGCCCAGAGAGCCACTAGGTCTGGACCAAGTGGGTCCACATGACGGCTGCTCCTGGGCCCGTTATGTATTTAGGGAGCCTGTTGAGCACCTTTGAATCACATGGACAAGCCTGGAGGCTGGAACCCCCAACTGAACGCCATGGATTGAGGCGGAGGGAGGCACAGTTCCCCCAAGGAAAATCCGGATACTGCCTCGAGAAGGAAAGGTAATGTGTAGACAAATGCAAGCAAACAAACAAACAAAAAATCCCTAGCCACCTGAGGCAGAAGAATCACTTGAACCCAGGAGGTGGAGGTTGTGGTGAGCTGAGATCGTGCCATTACACTCCAGCCTGGGCAATGAGAACGAAACTCTATCTCAAAAAAATAGAAACAGCCACCATAGGGAGGGAGAAACTTGAGCTGATTATTAGGAAAAGAAAATGATTCACAAGGACTGAACTGGGGTGTGGGTTAAGACATCGTCTGTGTGTGATTAACAACTGATGTAATCCTAGAGAAAACACACTTTGAGTGGAAGTCTTGTGTTTCAGAATTTCAGCTGAAGCCCTAGGGCTGAAAACAACAGACAATAAAAACTCCCACATTCTACAGAGGGGAGCCTGTCACAAATGGAGTAGGGAAAGGAAGGTTCCATGAACATCATCCTGAATACCCTCCCCAAGGAAAATTGGTTGTATGGAGGGGGAATCAGCCAGGGAATCCAAGGAATCTGAAGGTGTGAGTGTGAGCTGAGCGTTTTCTCTCTTTTTTCCTATAAGATGTGGAGTCAGGATGTTCTTTCTTTCCAATTCTGTTCAAGCTGAATGCAAGAGGGGAGGGTGGGAAGAGACAGCAAGAGAACATAACCATACAGTGTGGGAACGGCATCAAGAAGAGACTGGTCTTTCATAATACACTGGAGAGCTTGCTCAACTACAGAATCCTTAGGCTCCTCTCGGGTCCTCCAGAGCAGGGGCACTGTGGCAGAGTGCATGTGCGAGTCTAAGGCAGTGCCCCAGAGAGAGGGATGCACGGAATCAGGCATTGGTTCCTCAGTCTCACCTCAAGAATGCTTAAGAGGGAGGATGGCTCATGCAGCAGGGGATGTATTGGGGGTGCAGCGGATGGCCTATTCTGATACCTTGTGGGGGTGAGGTTGTGAGGCATCTCTTGGTCAAGTGCAGACTGCAGAAGATGGCCAGTGTGGAGGCCTCTTGAGAGACCCTGCCCAAGAGGACCGCCTGCTAGAATGAGGGTCCCAGGCTGCAGCGCCCTGCTGGGTAGAGGAGTCTGCTGAGAGTGCATTTCCTGGACGGGGGATCAGGTGGGATAGACACTCTTGAAGGGGTCTCCAAAAATCCCAGAGTGGTCTCTGAACAAGCCCCTGTGTACGGCCACCTGACTGCCAAATCAGCGTGCCCCAATCACCAATGACACGGCCACCTCTGGGCAAAATTCCCAGATGATGTGAAACCGCTCGTGAGACTGAAGTTTAGGTCTAAACTGGAGTGGAAATTTTACCATATGAAAACTAAAGGCACCTGTATTCCCAGCATTTTGGGAGGCTGAGGCCGAGGTTGGTGGATCACCTGAGGTCAGGAGTTCGAGACCAGCCTGGTCAACACGGTGAAACCCTGTCTCTACTAAAAATACAAAATTAGCTGGGTATGGTGATGTATGCCTGTAATCCCAGCCACTTGGGAGGCTGAGGCAGGAGAATCACTTGTACCCAGGAGGCAGAGGTTGCAGTGAGCTGAGATCGTGCCATTGCACTCCAACCTGGGCAACAAGAGTGAAACTCCATCTCAAAAAAAAAAAAAAAGGAAAGAAAAGAAAAGAAAGAAAACTAAAGAGTCCTAATATTTAATGACTGGAAAGTAATGGCGTGTGCCCCATCCAAGGACCAGGAGTGGGGATCCCGCAGCTCATGTATGAGAGAAGCACAAAGCCTTTTCCGGATAGTGTGCCAGTCAGTGAGTTCAGCCCGCTCAGCACCCAGTCACCCTGCACCTGAGCGTGGGACATTCCCTTTCCTCTGTGCTCATGAACAATCTCCAGACCCACCTCAGAGCCCATGTCCTCTCGGGAGCCTGCCTTCGCCTTCCTCTTTCTCTCTTCTTTCCAACTCCTTGGCCTCAGCCATGGCTGCTGGTAGAAATAACCTTGCCATTCCCTTCTTGAGAACTGTGTCTTCTGTGATTAGTGTCTAAGTTTTTCAAGGACTCTTGGCCTGGTGCATTTGTCTGTAACCACATGGAGAACATGGAGCTTGGACCATGGCTGATACCATATTTGGGAAGGAGGTCAAGGACAGGATTAGAAGGCAGTGACCCAGGGCCCAGAAACTAGACGGGGCTCACATCCATCAGATGCTGATGCTAATGAGAAGGGGCCCTGGGCAGCAGGAGACCATGATCTATGCCTGCACGCCCAAGTCACCTCACCTGCCGGCCCCGGCTTTCATGGGAGTAGTTGTCTGGATTTTTCAGGAGCTGCTTTCTCAGACTGTTTGCAATCTACTTTTTGATAGAATGGACACAAAACATATCAGAGCCTTGACATTCATTTTCTTTCAGGAGTTCAAGGTACTGTTATATTCTCTAGGGAAAGAAAGTACAGTAATGAATGTCTCTTTGTTTGTCATCGATTATTTTGAGTTGATTTGACACAGCTGACACCTTCGAGTTTACACTGCAGCCATTTGACAATAGGGAGCTCAAGGACCTTGGGCACTCCAGGAAATGTGTCAGCGTGTTTTCTGCTCTCTTTCTACACAGGTGAAAAGTCCTTTGGAGACTTTTCACTCCTTTTTTCTTCTTCTTTTTGTCTTTCTTTTTGAGAAGGCTAGACAGATTTTTGAAAGCTTCCTCTAAACTATGCAATTGGGTACATGTTCAAAAGCGAGACCTTATTTCTTGTGAGAACTTTGTTGCCCTTCCTCTCTTGTCATCCGTCAGAAGCGCAGAGCTTTTTCGGAAGCTTTGACTGTGAAGGATCACAAATTTGTTTCTCAAAGGCCCCTCCGCTGGCTCCTCCGGCCTCACGAGTCCCGTTCCCCGTGTGCTTCTGTCCTCACCTAGCAGACACCATCTTCGCGCGGGCCAAACTGGCTCCGTTCCCCCTTTCATTCTTGTCCCTCCTTTCAATCTTTCTCTACTTTTTATGCAGAAAAATAAAGTGTACCAGGCCTGGTGTTGCCATGGCAGTCATGGGGCTGCGTGCGGGCCTTTAGTGGATTTGAGCTCTAAACTTGGAAAAAAGTCATAATGCCCTCAAAGAAGCTGGAAGGAGAGAAAGAAAGAGGAGAAAAATAAAACAGGGAAACAGCCTGCGAAGGAGAGATCAGGGGAAAGCAGGGCAAAGCCCCGAAAATACATTCGCGGTGACATCACTGCCTTTCCCACAGAGGCCATTGACTTGGGAGGCCGCCCGGCCAGTGGCTGCCCTAAAGCCGGCTCTCCAGGGCCGGGGAGCCTTCGCTCCCTTCCTGAATGCCTTTTTTGTTGGGAAACAGTGGACTGTTTCTGAAGGCCTGCATAAATGACTGAGTAATTCACTGCAGTTGCCAGGAAGTCGGAGCCACTTGTGAGCTAACAATAGTGAACTTTATCTCCCGCCCCATGCTGGAAGTTCCAGCTGTAGGTACCGAATTCTAATAAGGGCTTTGCTCATGCCTCTGAGGTTATGGTAATATTTTATCCATCTTTTTTCAGGAAGACACAGTCATTGCTGCTATTGACAACCGGAGGCCAGCACTGAGGACTGAGGTGGGCGGGGAGCCGGGGTGAGGGGGCGTGTGTCGGGGAAGACGGCGAATAAAATTCACAGGAAGGAGGAAAGAAAGCGGTTTTCCTGTGAGCGCGACATGTTTTCTGTTTCAAAGGAGACTCTAAACTGACGTAGAGGAGAGAAGAGAAAGATTTCACTCTGACTCATAAGTGCCTGAGGCGGAAAGATGGCTTCGGACATTTCCTGTGTTTCAGACGCGGCTCCTCCTGGCTCCTCCTCAGCAGACGAATCGGCAGCCGAGGCTGATCGTGTGCTCAGAATTAGTGTCAGGCTATGAGGTTCCTCTTCGCTGCCCCGTTTGTGGGCAAAGCCGATGTGTATTATTAAGTGATTCTGTACCCAGGTATCAGAGACCCCAATACCTTCTTCACAGGATAGTTCTCCGCTAAGGGAAAATGAAGAATGTGCTCACTTCCGGCCTTGTGGGTTCTGAGGACACATCTCAGCAACTTCCTGTGAAGAGGGGCCGGGTCGCTGAACCCCTGAGCAACCCCGGAAGGACAATTTCTGGGGCCTGGTTACAGAGAGAACAGACGGCTTAAGAACTCACTGTGTGCCACGTGCTTTCATGATTATTGTTTCAGTTTATCTTCATGACCACCCCATGAGATAGTCCTATTTTCCCATTTTGGATGTGCCCGGCTAATGTTTATGCGTGCCCTGTTGCCTCTGCAGCAGAGCACCGCACCCTCAGTTACTCAAGTCCACGTTCAGGTTTCTCATGACCTTGGCTTCTTGTTGAGGGAGAAGTAGAGAAAAATGAGTAAAAAGAGAGTGGGGAATCTCCAGGGTGTGGGGGAAGATGGCATGGACCTGACTTCTCATCTCCTTCCCATGAAAATGAACCAGTGAAACCACCTGTGAGCCACACGTGCAGCTCATTGGATGACAGAGGACACCACGATCTGCAAGGTCACTTCAACACAGAGAAAGGGACCAAATTTCAGCTGAGTCCCTATCACCACCACTGGGAGCTTCTAGGCAAGGGGTCGGCAAGGTTCATGTGACTGTGGGGGGGAAAAAAAAAAAGACAGGATAAGGGTGGCTTAGATGAGGCACAGACGATCTGGCCTCAAAAAGAAAAATCCACTCCTGGATGCTGAAGGACTGGTGATGGATGGCTCAGGGCTTGGTAGTTCAGAGCAACAGCCACGGGGAGGGAACTTTGAACATGAGTCAGGCAGGAAGAGGCAGCCCCAGAGGTGGGTTCCTCCTGGAGAAGATGCGCAAAGAAGGAATGGAAACCACCAGGGACATGTCACGAAGGAGAAGGGAGGAACTGAGGGATACTTACAGAGATGACAGATGACAGCATAGCAGACACGGCAAACCATCTCTTTCCCTCCATCATCACTACCACCATCCACTAAGGAAACCAAACAAAAGAAGACAGATGTACCAAAAAGTGCACTTGCACGTTAGAAATCACACCCATAAAATGAACAGGAATAGAAAATGTGGACCACATTCACAGGAAACTGTAATAAGAAAATAGAAAATGTGAATCAACAGATAGAAGCTGTGAAAAAAAAAAACCAACCATGAAACAAGAAAATTGTCACAGAAGTATCAACACCGAATTAAATAGACACAAAAAAGAATTTGAAGATAAGGAAGTACTTTAGATCAAAAATTTAAAAATTGAAAATAGAGGCAGGAAACAGAACAACAACAACAAAAAAATAAAACAAGAGTTAAGAAAAATGCAAGGACAGAAAAGAGTAAAATGTTAGAATCATGAAGGAAATGAAGGCTAAATTACTAAAGATGACCAAAGAATAGACTCAACTAAAAACTTGATAAGGGTCATGGAAAAATTAAGAAACACAATCAAGAGGATAACATAAAGATATAAAGAAGATAAATAAAAAGAGTTAAAGAGAAAATTGTTGAAATGTTGGAGAAGAAAGATGCAGCATGGGTGATGGTTACTTTTATGTTTCAACTTTGTGAGGCTGTAGGAACCAGTCAACCCAGGTTTTGCTGTGAAGGTGTTTTGTAGATGTAGGTTAGCATCTATAATCAATTGATTTAAAGAAAATAACTCTGGATAAGGTGGTGAGCCTCACCTAATCAGTTGAGGAAGTAAGAGGAAAACCTGAGGTTTCCCAGAAAAGAACAAATTGTGCCTCAAGTTTGCAGCATCAACTCTTGGTGAGTTCCCACCTCTTGGTCTACTTTACACATTTTTCTCACTCCAGCTTCACAATCGTGCAATCTATTTCCTTCAAACAAATTTCCATGTATCTTATTGTTTTTCTTTTCTCTGAAGAACCCTAATACAATATGTGTATGAGTGTGTGTGTGTGTGTGTGTGTGATTGAAATCCCTGAAGAAAAATATTAAAACAATATGGTAGAGCTAATATTTAAAATTATAATTCAAGAAATAAAAAAGAATAAAAAAACACTATATTAAAAAATCTATGAGTTACATTTAAAATAGCAATAATAGAAAATTTATGGCCCTGGCATCCATGTCAATAAAAATAAAAGAATGGAAAAAAATGAGTTGCAATCCCAATTAAAAAAAGAAAACAGCAAAGAAAAACAAAATATTTAACAATAATAACAGAGAAATAAATGTGATAAGAACAGAAAAAGAGTAGACTGCATTAATAAAAATAACTTTTGAAATAATGAACAAAAACTAGGTAATTTAATCAAGAAAAAAAGGGCAAAACTTTACAAAATAAAATATAACAAGGAGTAAATGACTATCCACACAGGGAAAGAAAAAACCTTCTAGAATGTTAGACTACTTTTATGCCAATACATTTATAAAGCCTGATGAAGTGGGTAATTTCTGCAGTCAAATGTTTTACCTCTGAGCTATACTGCAAGCTGTGAAGTGAGTAATTTATTAATAAAATATAGTTTACCAAAATTCTCCTTAGTAAACTGAAAGCTTGATCAATTTCCATGGAAGACATAGAAAAATATATTAAGCATTGCTCTTTGATAAAACACCATACCAAACAGTTTCAAAGGGGAATGCTGTGACACCTTTGGAGACTCGCTGGCCCCAAATGCTACATACCTTGTTTTAAAATATAGAAAAAGAAGAGGAATTTTCCAGTTCCTTTTATGAAGAATGGATGACATTGAGAGCTGAGCTTAATACAAACAGCACAACAAAGGAAAGTAGAGATCAATTTCACATATTAATACTGATTTAAAACTCCAAAATAATTCACCATGACAATGTATAATTTTATATCAGAATTCAAAAACAGTTCAATATTAGGAAATCTTGTTAGTATGTTTTACCACACAATTAAATCTAAGGAGAAAAATGATATAACTATCTCCAGATATGCAAAAAATAGCCTTTGACAAAATTTAACTTCATTTTTAATAGAATCTCTAGAAAAAAGTCAAAATGCAAATCCCTAATATGACAAAATATATTATTTTGGTAAAAGATTAAGAAAGAAATTAAAGTAAGAAATTATGAAGATTCTGAAATTAGGATTGAGATATGCACATATATATAAAATATATATACACATATATTTTATATAAATATATGTGTAAATATTTATCCCAATCCTAATTCCAGAATCATTCAAATTAGGAAACACTAGAAATATTCCAGTTAAGGTTAGAAACAAGGCAAGGATTCCTACTATCATCACTACTATTTATTCTGGAAGTATTGGCAAATGTAATTAGATTACAGAATCGAAGGAAAAATAATTGGTAAAAATAAATAAACTATCTTTTGCAGGTGACATGATAGCATACCTGGAGAATCCCAGAGAATTAATGATAAAACGAATTTAAGTGAAAGCATTAATCAATGAACAGAATATAAAATTAACATGCAATAATCAATAGCCTTTATATACATAACCAACTAAAAGATATAATAAATAATAAAGTCACAATTGCGATAACAATAAAGGATAAACTACATAGAAGTATAAAAGTATTACTTAAAACCTATCTCAAGAAAACCATAAAACAATAGGAGATGATGATGTTTCAGTATGTATAAACATAACAATTCTTCCCGTGTTAATTTCCAAATATTTTGCATTCTCAGTTAGACATGCACACACACACACACACACACACTCTCACCAAGCTAAACAAGTTGATACTGAAGTTCACGAAAAAAACCTTGAAAAGGAAGAGGTAGCATGTATTAAGATTATAGGGTGGAAGGAGTGTGAGAATTGAAAAACTACCTATCAGGTACCGTGCTCATTCCCTGGGTGCTGAAATAATCTGTACACTAAACATGCCATTTAACTCTATAACACGCTTGTGCACGTGCCCCCTGAACCTAAAATAAAAGTTGGAAATAAAAAAAAGAGATACTCTAAACCTTCTATAATTAAAGCAGCATGGACATATTTCCAAAAGGACAAGCAAATGGCGTAGAACAAATGGTGCGTATGAGTATAATATGAAGGCTCATGTCAGATCACTGGGGCAAAAATGGACTTTCTGACAAATAAAAGAAGTGATGTCAGAGTAACTGGACAGTCATTGAGAAAAGATAAAATTAGATTCATTTCTACCCTTCATGTAAGAAGGATCTCTAACAATTCAAAATCCAGGTTTCATCAATGAAAAGATTGATGTTTGCTTATATTTAAAAAAAAAAAAAACTATTTGCTTGGAAAAAAGCACCATATACTAGGTCAAAAGGCAAATGACAAACTGTGAAAGAGCACAGATGAAAGGCTATGTACCTATTATACAAAGAACTCAGATATATTGGGGAAAAAGGACAAAAAATCTCATAGAAAAGTGGAACAAGTCATTCATGAATAGAAAATGCACAAAATAGATATTCAAATGGCACCTACATGTTAAACACGTTTAACTTCATAATAGAAGAAATGTCGATTAAACCTGTACAGAAGGGCCATTTCTCACCCATCCGTTGGGAGAAAATACGAAAGCTTGACAATTCACACTGCTGGCGAAGCTGTCTGGTAACATGCACTGCTGGTGGGAATTTAAAATGGTTGGTGCAAAAGTAATTTCGGTTTTTGCCTTTACTTTGAACGTAAAACAGTAATTACAGTGTTGCTATTACTTTTAATGGCAAAAGTACTGACGTTACTTTTAATTAGAAGTAATGGCAAAAACCACAATTACTTTTGCATCAATCTAATACAATTCCTCTGGAGGGGAATTTGGCAGTTCTAAAAACAACTACATATACATTTGTTCTTCAACCCAGAAATCACACTTCCAGAAATTTACTCTGAAAATATATTTCAAATAATACAAAAAGAAGGCGTGTGATTATTCACTGCAGCCATATTCACATTGTAAAATTCAGCAACTACCTAAATGTCTACATAGTACTCCCTTCTTATGGATGGTTTCGTTGTCTGCATTTTCAGTTACCTATGGTCAATAGTGATCCAAATATATTAAATGGAAAATTCCAGAAATAATCCTTACGTTTTATTTGTGCTCTATTTTGAGTAGCTGATGAAATCATGCACTCTCCTGCTCCGTCCTACCCGGCAGGTGAATCATCCCTTTGTCCAGCATCAGCACACTGTTTATGCTACCTGCTAGCCACTTAGTAGCCATCTCTGTTATCAGACCGACTGTCATGGGGTCACAGTGCTTGTGTTCAAGTAACCCTTATTTTACTTAAAACCATGGTCCTAAAGCGCCAGAGTAGTGATGCGTGCCTATTCAGACTAGAACAAATCTTCTATCTGGGAAACTGAATTGTTGTCATTGTTCTGTTTTATAATTATTGTTGTTAATCTCTTCTTGTGCTTAATTTATAAATTAAAGTTTGTCATAGGTATGCATGTACAGGAAAAAACATAGTGTATATATAACTAACTGGGTACTATCCACGGTTTCAGGCATCCACTGGGGGGTCTTGAAATGAATCCCCTGAAGACAAGGGATAGGTACCATTCATAAGCGATGGATTTTATAAACTATGCTATATTTACACAATGGAGTGATGTGAACTGGGAAAAAATAAGATACACCTCTAAGAATGGAGAAGGGATGATTTCCTTGTGTTGTGTTAGTGAAAACACAAAGTGTTAAGAAAGGAGAGGAGATCATAAATGACATTAATCTGATAATCTGTTCGAACATTAAAATGTCATGGATAGGCCAGAGAACAATGAAGTTTGTTACCTATATTGAGAGGCACAAGTAGGGCTGAAGAGATACAGGAAGAGACTACCTTTTTGTATAGTTGAAATTTGAAGGTATGTTAATATTCTATGTATTCAAAAATTAAAATGGAAAGAATAATAATCAGGAAATAGAATTGAAATGGGAACAAATTAATGCGACTGCTTTTGAGACGAATAACACAATAGTTGGGGAGGAGACAGTGAAGTAACTTATGAACAGAATGTTGACT